CTTGCACTAGCAATACTATGGCATCTTGCTTTCCAGGAACTATGACTAGGGATTTTCCCGAGGGGTGTTGTGCCCCTCAAGGGAGTACTTATGGACTGGATGTCCAGGACAATGTCTTTGCAACCGTGTCTTTAGTTTTTCTACATTTTCAAGCATGAGTGAGGGACATGGGTAGGTCAGCTTACATCTGGCTCAGGTCAGACTCCTAAGGTGTAAGGATGGGGGGGCGTGTCCCTCAAGGGTTCAGATGCTGCCATTTGACGCCCCCTGAGAGATATTAAGGAAGTGGCAACATCCAGCTTTGTTATTTAGAAGTGGGCTTTTGAGGGTGCTTAGGATCAGCTTAAGTCTTCAGGGTGGGTCCCCATGATTAAATCATGGTGGCATAAGAGAGAAGGACCATCATACACACACACACACACACACACACACACACACACACACACTTGGCCAGTAAGAGACCAAAACTACCAGATGTAGGTACCTCTAGAGAACCACAAGGTAAGACCAACCTTGTTTCTTTATAAGGTTTCTGGCATTCAGATACTTCATGATAGTAACACAGGACAAGCTAAACTAGAAGAAGCAGCTAATACATGTGTGGGGGGGGGAGCTCACTAAAATGAGCAGATTCTGAAAGTTGGCGGGGGGGGGGGGGGAGTATCTCTGTGGGAACACCACAGGAGGAAAGAGAGTCTGGCCCCAGAGACCCAAAGGCAAAGGAAATAAGTTAAAAATAAAATAAAGCTGAGGATAAACCTAAGAGCTCCTTGGCAGGATGAAAGCTGAGTGGAAAGCTCTATTCCTAGAGCCCCATGTCTGAACAATTTATTTTTCCTACCTCTGAGTCCCTGTGTGCCTCCCTCAGCCAAGATCAAGTGACAAAGGACATCTCAAAATACCCACAGCCAAAACTACTCAGCATATCTCCCCTGATGGAGAAAGCGCTTCTGAGAGGCTTTGTGGAGAACCACTGATGGATTCTCCAGCGTCCAGCCAAGTCCTTGGGCACTTGTCGCCTACGAGCTGGCAGCTGCCTTCCAGCCTGGGACTAGATCTCATTCCTGACTAGAGAGCCCTTGCCAGATGCATTGTGACTTTCTCTGGTTTTGCATCTTTATACTGGAACCCTCCCGACCTTTGTTAATGAAGATCTTAGCAAGGGGGAAACTGCATTAGTGGCTGACGATGTTGGGTTAGTTGTAAGTAAAGGCAGCATTGCAAGTCCCTGTCTGTGGCAGGCAGCTCCTGAGGATCATAATGGACAGTAAAATAATAACTAATGGACAGGAAGATGACTCTTAAAACCAGACTGGCCACTCAGGCAGTGCCAGACAGAGCAAGGCTTCTGTACAATGTCAGGATACAAGAAGCACAGAGCTCTTGGTAGGTCCCAGAACTAAAGAATGGTCCCTCGTGCTTCTAGGACCCTATATCATCTCAGTTAAGATTCATAACAGCTCATAAAGGGAGGGTCACAGCTGTGTGGTGGTGGCACACGCCTTTAATCTTAGCACTCCGGAGGCAGAGGCAGGCAAATCTATGTTAGAGGCCAGCCTGAAAGTCTCAGGATAACCAGGGCTACACAGAGAAACCC